AAAGAGGGGGAGGCCTTCAACGAGATGGATTGACACGGTGGCTGCAATGATGGGCTCAAGTATAGCAGGGATTGTGGAGCTGGCGCGGGATCGGGCAGTGTTTCTTTCTGCTGTGCATGGGGTCGCTATGAGTCGGAAACAACTCGATGGCATTTAACAACAACAACATGAGTTGGAATCAACTTGATGGCAGTAGGTTTCGTTTTGGTTTTGGTGTATAGACATCTGCTAAGCATTTCTTTCCACACCAGATCAGTCACATGTACACTGAAACTATTCTGATAGACAGCATCCTCTATTACAGCAATATCTTAGCAGCTAGAGTCCATGTGTGTCACCACCCCTCTCACTTGGATGCTTTACAGGTTTGAAAGGGCATGAGCCTACAGCACACTCACTGTGTTTGGCCCTTGAGTAGATTCCTAGGCTTCACCTTAATTACCAGTGAGCTAACAAGCCTCCAAGGCATAGCTGACCCTGCAGCAACAGCCACACAAGTTTCCCATTTTGTCAGTCACTGTACCTCATGCCTAGCTGACGATTCACTCTTTGTCCTTGTTTAATGACTCATCCCATCACAACTGTTAACACCCATTATTTTTCTTACTACTTTCCTTTTTCTTTACCATCTATTTAAATCACAAGTCTCTTTTCATCAGCCCTTATAATATTTCCATTGTCCTTGCACTTCCTGGACATGATTCGTTTAATAACATTTAATGCCTCTCAAAACCACCCAGGAGCCCAGCAAACATGCAGCAGTAACAAATAAACAGATGCCTGTGACCACGCAAGAGCACTAATGCCATCTATTGGCAGGGGGCCGAGCCAACAGGCTTCAGCTCTGAAGTGTGATTTCACTGGCATCACCAAGAATTCTTAAGTTCAGGAGGCTCTGTGATTTCTTAATCCTCCTCCCTATACCATGTGGGGCTTTTCTCCTACAACCATGTTAGTCAGAAATCTAACGTGGGAGGGAGGGACTGTTGCAAAGTTACTTACCACGTCATGGCCAGAGACTGCAAAATGCAGAATATGAGGGCAAGTCCTTTATTATGCCACTGAAAGAAAAAATGGTATCATTACATAAAAATATGTGGCAAGAGACAGAAACAAAAAAGGTGGGGAAAAATTTAAATACACACTTACCCAAAAGGCAGAACACAGGGTAAGTACCAAACACAACTAGAGAGAGAAATGGAAATTTAATATCATGACAACATGGCAAGAAACAAACAACTCTTCAACTCCCACAGCAACCAGCTGCCTTCTTTCATTTCAAAGCATTTAATGCAACTGAGCATCCATGTTCAACAGTGGAATTAACATCTCAATGAAATCACACTAGTCAAGAAGGAATAGTTATCAATTAGAAAAAGTCCTTTCCTACTTTCAAGTTCACCTGGAATATCTGCCCAGCAAATAAAGTCATATGTCTAACCCATACATCTTTTTCATTCAAACATACATTGATACCCACTTAGCATAAACCTCTCCTGTCAAACACTAGTAAATTCTTGAGTAGACAGGGCATGTTGAGGACAAAGGTTAACATAAGATGTCATTCTCAGTCAGTGGGTCAGAGTGATTTTTCTTTTACATGTCATGTAACACTTTCCCCTAGGTCCTTTGTTAGAAAATCCTTTCTCTAGAGCCTTGTCCAGACGATCTACATCCTGGGATGGCCAAGAAATACTGGTGTTTGAGCCATTATCCCCTACCTTCCATGCCATCCTCTTATCATAGCCACTACTCAACAAACATGTCCTAAATATTTCCCGTGTCCACCACTGTGCCCAATGTTTTTAAAGGACCTAAAATGGTCACAGCATCAAAGAACTTAACTATGTGAACAAATGAAACTAGTAAGAGTTATCAAGTTCCAAATGTTGGAAAATTGATCACTATAATAGGAATCCAAAGATCATTAAAGTCTATTGTAATGGTCCAAAGAAGGTTAGTGGACAGGAAAGTACAAGGCTGAAGGCAATGATGTCCAAGCAAGGAACAGGCATGATGGACCATGTGAAGATAAGACAAACTTCTAGAAGACTGAGGGAAAGTGAATAAATATAATCCCAAAAGCAGATTAAAATGAGGGAAAAAGTATATCCTAGAAGACAGGATCCAGAGAATGAACCCTGTGCTTCTGAGTTAATCCCTGTAAGCTCTGTCTATATGGCTTCAATCACCACCAGCTCTCACTCCCAGCTCTCTTACTACCTTATCCTTATCAGTTACCTTCTCAGCTAACTGACAAATGCCCCCTGGAGGTACAGAACTGAACTGCAATACTTGGCACTAGCTGAAACAAAGGAGAAAATTATTAAACAAAGGAGAATGTTTCCTTCTTTCACAGTGGTTACAGAAAATTAGGTAATAAGTCAAGATGAAAAGAAAAAGGGAAGAGATCCTTAGTTTTGAAAGGAAAGAAAATTCCAAATAACAGAAATAAAACCTTCCATTCTGGAAGTCCAGCTAAAAGGCAGCCCTTACCAGCATCATGATTGTTGCTATCAAACGCGTAGGCTCAAACATTCGCTTTAGCTGTTTCATTGGTCCCATGAGGAAGATGGTGCTGAGAAACAAACACACACAAGCCATTCAGACCAGACTAGATGCACAATTAGGCACTGTCTCCCATCATCTCCCCAAGATCACCTGTGGCAATAACAGCAGCAAAAGAAGCTAACATTTGATAAGCTCTTACTCTGTGCCAGCATTGTGTTTAAGGGTCTTTTATACATTGATTGCGTTCCTTTACCCCACCAGCAACCTAATACTTAGGCAATACTCACTGCCATCGAGTCAAATCCAACTCACAGCGACCCCTCCTTGGGTTTCCAAAGCGGTATTTCTACGAAGTAGATTGCACAGTCTTCCTTTCGAGAAGTGGCTGGTGGGTTTGAACCGCCAGCCTTCTGGTTAGCAGTCAAATGCCTTAGGCACTATGACACCAGAGCTCCCAATGCTTAGGCAATAGGAATAATTATTATGTTTATTTTACAGATGAGGAAACTGAAGCCCACAGAGGTTAGTTACTTATCCACGGCCACCCAACAACTAAATGGTACAGCTGGGCTGTAAATGTATGTCAGCCATACTCGGAACCACTAGGTTACACTACCACTCTCTGAGAGGTTCTACTTTGCCTCCTTGACAAGGAAACAAACTAACAAGCCAGAAGAGGGCTCAAGTAATTAAAAAAAGGAAAGACACCTTACAGGCTTAGGCTATTTCTGTTAAAAAATACAGCATTTCATTTTCTTTCAAGAATAATTCTAATGTTAGTAATTATAGTATTATTTACAGAAATTTTGTTAAATGCCAGGTATCAGGTACATTAATTACCTCATTTCATCCCCTCAACAACCCTGTGAGTTAGGTATTACTATATCTATTTTGTTGTTGTTGTTGTTGTTGTTGTTATGTGCCGTCGAGTCGAAAATAATGCTTGGAAAAGTTAATTTACTTATCCAAGATCACATAATTAGGAACCCAAAGAGCTGGCATTCAAACCCATACTGATTTGATTCTAAAGCTCTGAAACACATCACCAGAGTGCCTTCCATTGTTATTGAGAGTTGAGAGATGGCTAGTGAAAGGGACTGACCACAAATGAAGCAGACCCTCACAGCTAACACAGCCAGTGCCAGAGCCAGCTTTGCATCATGATTCCTGAGCTCTAAGGAGTATGTCCCATGTGGCGTCACTCCAGTGGTAGCTGTTAGAATCCAACAAGTAGATGATGGCACAACTGAGTGTTTGATTAAAATGAAAATTTTAAAAATAAGTCTGTCCCTCTTTGCAGTGCCATTCAGTGCTATTCAAGTGCTATTCAATTTGAATTCAAGGCTACACTATTCCCTCAAAAGGAGTTCTGGTGGCATAGTGCCTAAGGGATCTGACTGCTAACCAGAAGGCTGGCGGTTCAAACCCACCAGCCACTCTGTGGAAGGAAGACTGGGCAGTCTACTTCCACGTAGATTTACCGCCTCGAAAACCCAAAGGGAGTCACTATGAGTCAGAATCAACTTGATGGCAGTGGGTTTGTTTTTGGTTTGGTTTAATAGCTCAAATGTCTGAGCTCAGTGCACTCATTAGCCTACTTGAAGAGGAAACAATAGCCAAGGCTGGTCTTAAAATTAAACTCAGCATGTACACAAAAACATAACAGATTATAGATAAAGCTCAAACTCCTCGACACACCCTGGAAATAACAATTTGCTCCCTTTATTACTTCCCTAGGCAGTGTTGGGAAGAGTCAGTCCCATTAGGGTTTGCTAAATAGTTATTTTGGACTAACAAACACACCCATATATATTATGCTCAGTCTGGACTCTACATTATAACCTACATTGTCTGCCCAAAACAAAACCTCCGAAAGTAAGTATTTGCCAGAACTTCAGAGATCAGAGATCTCTGAGCCCCGCATTATACTGTCCTAAAGCATTATTAATAAATGAAGCTTTAAGAAGATGGCTGAAGTCATGCACTCAACCATCAGTTTAACATTTCCCGTCAGAAACAGAGCTCAGTTTGGGGAGAAGACACAAGCACTGTCCTGTTCTTGTCAAGTGGCTTATAGACATGTAACACATCTGTGTAATAAAATGCTACTGAGCTGTCACATAAATATACACAGGATACAAAAAACCCCAAAGGAAGAGGTCTTCGATCCTGGAGGGAGGGTGGTAATCGGGAAAAGCTTCACAGAAGAGGTGACATCTGAGCAAGGTCTTAATGCTTGACAAATGAGTAAGCATCTATCCAAAAGGGGGAGGTGCTGTGGTGCAGTGAATCACTTGGTATGGCTCTTCTAGCTATGGTCTTTGTGACTCCCACAAGATAACTGGATGGAACTGTGCAAAGGTAAGGTGCTTGTGGCCCACCAAGGGGATTAGATAGCTTGTGAGTAATGTAAATAAGGCACATGGAACGCTGGTAGGGATGGGACCATGCAAATAGGGTGTATGGAACTCTAAAAAGTGGGGATTGGTTAGTTTTGTCATTCTGCTAGACTTAAAATAAGCCCTCCTAGGGCCAACAGGGGGGATCTCACTACCATGAAGAGAGAAGAACTGGAGCAGAGTGGAGTGGAATGTGTCCTTGGACTCGAGATCACTGCGCTGGATCTCTTTGGCAGAGAAACTGATAGGAAGCTGTCAAAGAGACAGTGGCAGCGGCAGTAACAGAAGCAGAACCAAAAGACCAGCACTAGCCGGAGCAGTCAGCTTGCTAGCCCACAGCACAAGCAAGCTGAGTACCTTTGGACAGGAGGCTTGCTGGCAGAGTGGGGTGTACCTAGGTGTACCTGTCAGCACTGTAAAAAGAGCTTTGCAACACTTGCCCAAGCAGGGCAGAGGCCAGGCCAAGAGGCCAAGGGCCAGAAAGAGGCATGCCTGATAGCACAGCAGAGGGGAGGATGTCCTAACTGATGAAATGTATCCTGAGTGTTCCTGAATCTGAACTGTAACCTGTTACTTCCCTAGCTTAACCCCACAATCTTGAGTATTGTCTGTGAGTTCTGTGAGGCCACTGATAAATTATCAAACCCAACAGAGAAACAGGGAGTGCTATGAGAGGGTTGTTGTCAGAATTGGTAAAATGGTTGGAGGATGGTAGCATGTCTGGCTTCAAAGGAATAAGCCTGGGCTGATAACAGTAATTCTCTCTGACCCTTGTAAAGTTAGAGGAAGTCAGAGGAGGATGCTGCGCCCATGCCTTTTTTGCAGATATGGTGGGGCAGCATTCTGGGCAGACAAAGACATGTGGGCAAATGTGAGAAGTTCAGCCTAGCTGGGGAGCAGGACTGGGGTGAAGCATGATTCCAAAATGTCTTTCATGAGTACTGAAGAGTTTGAACTTCACCTGTAGAGAAGGAACAGGGAGCCACTAAAAGGGGTTAATTAAATCCACTGCTTTTAAGTTGATTCAAAATCATAGCAACCCTACATGACTCCTGTAGTAACCCTTTAGGACTCCATTGCAGTCGATTCCAACCCATAGTGACTTTACAGGACAGAGGAGAACTTCCCCATAGGGTTTCCAAGGCTGTAATCTTTATGAAAGCAGACTGCCTCATCTTCCTACCATGGAGCAGTTCAAACTGCCAACCTTTCAGTTAGCAGCCAAGCACTTTAACCACTATGCCAGCAGGGGTCCTAAAGGAGGATAAGAAGGGCTATAAATGAGTCTCTCCACATGTCTGTGTTAAATGAACTAGAGGAGGACAGCAATAAAGGAGGCAGAGAAACCTTAGAGTAGTTCAGATGAGAGGTGACACCACAGCTGAGACCCAGCTCAGATATCACCCTCTCTAGGAAGCCCTCCCTGACTCCCCGGATCAGGCCAGATGCCCCTTCCTGAGCACATCTTCCCATATTATATTCTATTATCATATATATTTGTCTGCCTTGCAGACCGGTGAACTCTACTGCAGCAGGGAACAAATCTTACTTGGCCTTATTTTCTCAAGGACCACAGCAGGGTGTGATAAATGCTTTTCCACTGAGTGTGAGTTGATTTTTATCATGGGCACAAAGGAGGAGGAGCCAGGTAAGAGAAGTCAACAAGCCATGGTGAATAATCAGGCGAATGGGGGCAGCTTGGACTTCTGGGACTCTGAAGCCATTCACTGAGATACATGGGATGGAAAGATAATTAAGTTCTGTTTTCTGCAGAGCATTCAGACTGGAGAGGCAGGGTTAGAGCCGTCAGCACACAGGTGGAGCTGAAGCCACAAATGAGCTGGACCTGGGATGTCCATGTGCATGAAGCAGGTGGAATGGGCCACCCACATCCAAAAGCATTCCATCAGATGCCCTGCCCTCCCCAACTGATACTGGAGCCCAGGATGGTCTCAGACTAATTAGTAACAAGTTTCACCTGCAGCCATAGCCTGGTGAGCCCTTATGAAATAATCAAATCAGTCTCTGGCAGCAGTAAGATTACAGCAAAACAGAGGATTGTGTTGTAAACCCCAGAGAAGTCTTTCAACCTCTCTGTACTTGAGTTTCCTCATGTGTGAAATCACAATAGTAACATACTTCCTGCTTTCTCCCAAAGATACTTTTCAAAGATAAACTCAGAAAGAAAAAAAAAAACTGCCACTGAGTCGATTCTGACTCATAGCAAACCCCACTAGGTTTCCCAGGAGGTAAACCTTTACAGAAGTAGATTGCCCCATCTTCCTTCCGCAGAGTGGCTGGTGGGTTTGAACCGTCAACCTTCTGGTTAGCAGTCAAATGCCTTAGGCACTGTGCCACCAGAGTTCCTTAAAGATAAACTAAGATATAAACATATTTTTGAAAATGATAGGATATGAATGTGATGTATTTTAACCACCTCTTTTCTCTCCAAATCCTTAAAAGTGCTAGATCACCTTCTTTCACCTCCCTCAATCACAAGCCACATCCATTTTCCCATCTAATGAATGGCTCTAGTGGGAGTGGAAAACTGTTACCTTCCAAGTGATGCGATGTTACCAAAGGTATAAAACACTATGAAGAGGACTAGTCCCTTCCTCGGCACCCACAGCAGAAGAGTACCCTGGAAGTTAAAGCACAGGAAGTTTGCATGTGAGCAGCTTTCACACCACAGCCACGAATGAGGAGCTCATGAAGGAAATCCTGAGGAACCTCCACTTCCCTCCCTTTATCTCCCCCCATCTTCCTCTTCTCTTATCCATGCATCTTAGTGAACAGCCAAGATAAAAACAGGTGGATGAAAGGCAGAGGATATACTGATGAAGGTAGGGAGAAAAATAAAAAAGGGAACGATATATTACCAGCAGTGAACAGAGAATTCCTGCAGCAAAACATGCAATGAAGCCTTTTATCCTGGTACCCCAGCTTAATGAGGATGTCTCAACAACCTGAAATTTAAAATAAAAAAACTGGTTACATGTGTATATGCATATTTAATTACCAAAAACAAAGAAGCCCTAATGGAATTTAGAAGCAGTATATGACTTCGTACTAAGGCAGGCAAGGAACACAGAATCCTACACACCCAGAGCTACAAGAGCTCTCACAGGTCATAGAATACAGGTCCTTACCCATACAAATCTCCTCTCAGGCAGCTAATGAGTCACCTCACCTCTGGTTGAACATTCTGAATGTGGAAACTCCCAGCCACAAGCACAACCCACTTCACGAAAGGAAGACAAGAAAGTAGAGCCTAGAGTAGCCCAAAGCCCCCTGCAGCCCAGGCAAGAGGAGGAAACTCAGGAGCACCACTCAGGCAACTGGATCCACTGGTCAGTCATCCACTGCTGCATGAACCAGCCAAGCCCAGCAGCAGCAGTTCCTGTCGGCGCTTCTGGGACCTTGGAGGACTAAGCCTTGCATCCTTAACAGGACTTTCATCTGCATCACTCATTCTTGGGGCAGATGTCGTACTTACAGGGTGCTGGCATCCACCCAGTCACCCAAGTGTGAAACAAATCCTATTTAATTAATTATTACTCTGTTCTTCTGATTCTCTGTCATCATGATTAATCCCTCCCCAAGGCAAAATTCAGGGGAGGCAATAATGTGGGAAAAAAAAAAAAACTAGTCTAGAACCTGTGGATTATCTCCCAGTGATGTTCTCCTATATCAAAGATGACAATCAAATGCCTGTTCCAGAGATTTTCTGTCCACTTGACGCAAAGTGGGCACAGATGCTCTCAGCTGGAAAAAGGCAGCTGTGACTAAAGGGAAAAGGCCTGTGTCCTGCCCAGCGAAGGCAGGGCAGCCAGGCCCAGTGTACCTAGTGATGCAGGATTCACCTTGAGTGGCCTTCATGATCTCCTTTTTTGCAAAATGAAGAAAGCTGCCAATCACATTTCCATGCAGCTGAAGGGGTATGGTAAGTAGTAGCAGAGGCTGTAAGAATCAACAGACAGGCAATTCCCTCAGCCTTGACTGTCATCAGCTCAGGGACCTGTTTTTAGCTGTCTCCAAACTTCCTGTCAAACCAGAAGCTGGAAGAGAAGGACCAGAGGCTCCCCTAGGTGTGGCGGGCATTGCTACAGTATGGCTTAGTTTCCACTCAGAAGGAAGGTATTTAGGTCAGGTTGCCAATGGGGTTCACTTCCTATGCCCCATGTATTCACACTTATTGTAAGTGGGCTTGTGACACTGGAACACATACTCACAGCACTTCCAGAAACATGTGTCTGGCACTGAAAGGCACATTCAGAGAGGGTAACATGCAATGGTGAGCAGGATGCGAGGACCTGACAGACGGAGCACCTGGTTCCATGCTAAGCAAAACCTCTCTTCCTTAAGGAGTCTGGTTTCCTAAACTGCCTCAGCCTGGCCCTCCAAACTGAGCCACGTGATGCTCTGTTGTCAGGTTTTATTGGCGTCCCAGACAATCAGGTTAGACTACATCTGACTAACCTTAGACCTCCCACCAAGTAAAGAATAAAACCAAAATCTACTACTCTTTCTACTCATGGAAGAACCAAAGAACTTCCCTTGCCAATGGGGTAAAAGGAACTGAGCTGCATGTAGGGATAAAAGTGTGGTAGTGGAAATGGACTGGATCACGACTTAGAATCTATAAAACTCCAAAAAACTTCCTGCCCTCAACTCGGATCCAACTCATAGTGACCCCTCCTTGGGTTTCCGAGGCGGTATCTCTACGGAAGTAGACTGCCCAACCTTCCTTCTGAGGAGTGGCTGATAGGTTTTAATCACCAGCCTTCTGGTTAGCAGTTAAATGCCTTAGGCCTACATCACCAGAGCTCCCCAGGGACATTCAAAATGATTCAATCTTTCTCTTTTTTTAAAAAAAAGGAGAATAAACTATAAAGTTAAATATCAAAATTTGAATTGTCCTTGGCACTTAAAGGCTAAATTAAATAGTCAACAGGGCAGTGCCATTCCAGCCCTCATAAAAGTCAAAATAACTGGCAATAGGAAGCAGTTCCAGCAAAAACTTTTTTTTCTGGGCTCTACCTACAGAAAGGTAAGTGACACTTTGGTCCCACAAGTCTCTCAAGTGTTAACCTGTTTTTGTCAAAAGGGGAAGAGGGTTACTTTTCACCTCTGAGTTCTCCACTGCACGTAGTGTTAAGTTCTTTTACACGGACTTGGTCGCAGGCAGGAGGAAGCTGTTGCCCCGCTTCTCCTAAATGGACTCATGGAGAGCAAAACACTTCTTTTTGCCATTTTTTCAAAACAAACTCAGTTGATATAAAATGTCCCTCTAAATTTCTGGTTGCTGGAAACTCTGCTAGTGCACTTTTTGGAAATTAGAGTAAGTAAAATAGTACCTGGGTAGTCTGGCTGGCTGATTGGCAGTTATGCACAAAAGTCCCTTTGACTCCAGGATATGAAGAGAAGAGAAACCCTTGCCAAAAAAAGAAGTAAAGAGCTAAGAATTGTTCAAGGAAACAGGTTGGTAACTGGAAGGTGAGAAAGGCAGGCTGCTTTACTCCTGTGCTTTAAAATCAAGCATCATTCATACCTTCCTCATCCCTGTTGTTGTTGTTGTTATGTGCTGTCGCGTCGGACTCGACTCACAGCGACCCCTTCTTGGGTTTCCGAGGCAGTATCACTAGCATCCTTTATAAAAAACGCAACACCTATACTTTCAGAAAGAAGTCCACTGAAGATCTACCGTGTACTTTTGAAGATAAGGTATCAATTAGAAACTCATCATGAGGCTATTTATGATCAGGCACTGACATGCAGTTTTCATAATGATCTAATTTCATATGTCGGAGAAACAGAACTATTCACATTTTATTCTTTACATTAAAAGAATTTTTAAAAATTTAATTAAAAGCCACTGCCTTCTGGTGACCTCTGACAGCTTATATAATTGAATGCGAAGATTCTTAAAGGCCACTTAGTCTGGTGATGCAGTGCCTAAGGCATTTGTGTACTAGCCAGAGGGTAGCCAGTTCAAACCCATTAGCTGCTCTGGGGAAGGAAGATGGGACAACCTACTTCTGTAAAGATTTACCACTTTGGAAACCCAAGGGGGTCGCTATGAGTCAGAATCGACTCAATGGCAGTAGGTTTGCATTTTGGTAAACTTGCTACCCAAAACAGCAACTCTCCACTAAATCCTCCAGCCTTGCCAATCTCAAAACCATGGACAATGTGAGAAAATCAAGTCAGTACAAACATTTTAAAGCAGGCCTTGACCTAACACATAAAAAGGAAGCCAGAAACAACTCTGACAACGAATTCATCCTACTCTAAAATGTTTCCCCGAAGTTCAAGATTTTGGACAGGTCATACAATGACGCACACAAGCGGGGGAAACAGCAGTATTTTCGAATAACAGAGACCTATGAGTCGGGGCCGACTCGACGGCACACAACAACAACAACAACAACAACTCTTTTTAAACCAGATTTAATACATGACTGAGCTTACAACACTTTAAACTTTAAACACTTAAAGCCCTTCAGTGTGTCCAACACAGGCATTCACTGTTTTATGCAAAAACAACTTAAGCATTTATGTTTTCAATTTGTACTACATGAGTCACTCCTGAGGGTCTGTCCACTGCTTCGTGATTATTTTCTATAGGTACATTTATCTGTAGCACCCTACTCTACCCACAGTAGTCTTCCTACCCCCAAGAGTATCTAAGGAGAAAAACTGTCTCCTTCTTAAGTCTCAACTGCTCATAAAAGCTTGATGACAGGCTATGGTAAACTTTTAGTGAACATGAATGTCAATTCCCTATGTTTTCTTAGGACCCATCCAAAGTTTGACTTGAGTTCATAATAGAAGCCAGAAGTCAAGAATCAAGAACCCATAAAATTACTTCTGAGCCATGAGCAATTAATGAGGACAACAAAGTCAGGAGAACCCACGGTGCTGTTCTGAAATGTCAAAAAAAAAAAAATCAAACCTCACTTCCTATAGCACTCGATTCCTATGCTGTTTTCTTCAAGGTGAAAAGTAAGAGTGTAAGCTTTACAGTTTGAGGATTTCATGGAGGGGATGGAGATACGAATATCATACAAAACAAAATCAAAACTAAAATCAGCAACCCCAAAGCGGATTAAAGAAATATGCTGAGAAAACCAGGAGAGAGGCTGATTAAAGTTGTGAGGGAAGAACTTAGGTTTCCACTTAAAAGAGGCCAATATCATCTCGTTCATCACCCTCATTTTACAGATAGGGAAATTCGAGGCCCACGGAACACAGCAAAAAGTAGAGACAAATATCATTCAGGAAGAAAAACAAAAAACAAACGCTAAGAGCACCCAAAATTATTGTTGTTGTTGTTATGTGGTGCCGGCCGGCATTGTGCGGCGTTGGTGGTATAGTGGTGAGCATAGCTGCCTTCCAAGCAGTTGACCCGGGTTCGATTCCCGGCCAACGCAGTGGGCTGACCCAAAATAGGAAGTAAAAGTATTTCCTATTTTGTGTGGTTCTAGAAACACAGAATTAGGACATCAGTGGGCCAGATTGCAGCTGTATTCAAACCTTTTTGGTAAACAACAGTCGAACAAACTCATAGGCAGCCTCAAGAGATGCGGGCGTCGAGAACAAAATGTGGTGCCTGCCCTCGATGAGTTCAAGATTTCGCGATGCTGATAGTTATACAACAAGGTGATGTGCACAAGATCTGGTGGGGAGTGTCAGACCCACCACGTAAACTGGGCAGTAACCCAGCGCGTAGCACAGCGGGGTAGGCAGCAAGCTCGGAAACCAGCGGTACGACCACAGGCTCCCTGCCTCGGCGACCTACCCGCAAAGGCTCCCTCTGCCAGGCTTTCGGAGCCTTCCTGCCCCTAAAGCCCTTGCCCTAGTCTGCATTGATTGGGCCGCCCGCCTTCCCACTCGCCCAGATTTCGGAGGTTTCTTCTCCAGCGACGAGTACTCTTTGTGGACGGGTGAGGGTGTTGTAAGGGGTAGAGCAGGGAAGACTGAAAAGGCGCAGCACTAAAGAGTAAACAGATGCCAACTGCCCAGTGCAAAGTACTCGGCCCCTGCACCGGTGGCGGCGGGCTGGGGGCCCTCGCCGGGTCCTGCAGGGTAGGACAAAAAGGAAACAGCTGTTTGCTATGAAATCCTGCAAGTCCCGCTCGGCGTCCTGCTTGGCTTCCTACCCGCCATCAACAGGCGCAGGTGAAGCTGAGTGCAGGGGTCGGGAGTCCCCCGAGCCATGCGACCAGAGCCCTCCGAGGGTCCCTCCGACCCCAGGGCGGGGAACCGCGCAGAAACCGGGGGCGGAGCGCCCCGGATGGACGCACTCACCTCGGAAAGGCCGCCCCGGTCCTCGGCGTCCTGCCCGCTCAGCACCTTCTTCAGCTTGTCCATCCCGGGCCTGGTCCTCCAACTCCTACCCCTCGTCCGCCACCTGTGGCGCTAGTTAAATCGACTGCTCTTCCGGGTGCTCGGCACCCTGTGCTCCGCAGCGCCCCGCCCCCAGCCGCGGCGCGCTCCGCCCAGGTATCTGCCCACCTGGGCCGAGGCCGAAGCCCGGCATGCTCTGCGCGCCCCCGCCTGCTTTCACATCGTCCGTTTTTATAGACTTAGATTGGGCGAGGGAGGGCAGGCAGGAAGAGTTGGGGTTAAGGTCGACCATATATGGCCAAACACCAAGTTTGCGTCCGGCACCGCCTCCCAAACCCGAACCGGCCGCCCTGCAGGATCCTCACTAATTCCGTCAACTAATGCTGGGCACCCACCACGCGCCAGGCGCTGGAGAAACAAAGACCAGTGCCGCCCTACCCCCACTCCAATGGGGGTGAATGCAGGCTTGAGAACAAATGCTGTGCTTAATCCATATTGTGATTGTAGTTAAACTGGAAACACTTTTTTTAAAAATCACTTAATACTAGAGTAAATTTAATCTGTAACAAAACTCAGTGGAAACATTTAAAACACACACACTACTGTAATTCCAATTGGGAAATGTGTGGAGAGGTATGATTTAAGCAACATCTGAAGGAATAGGTAAAACTTGAGTGAAGCTATGGGGAAAGGAATAGTAGATTGTTTTGTGTTTGTTGGATTGCTTTATTGACCTCAAACCAGACGCTAGTTTTCAAATGATTGTGCCTTGGAGAATCTATTTGTCCGTGTAAATTCCAGGATGGGGCCAAAGACAAGACTTGGGCTCAAATCTCAAAACTGTTTGCTTGGGATGTCAGAATAACTTCATATCAGAAAACCATCCAGAGAGATGTGCATCCACTGGAGGATCAGTTACAGCCTCTCCTTTTCCCTCCACACTGCTCCCCACACACACATACATACAATTGAGAATGTTTGTGAAAGAGTAGGAATGCTGTGTCTGAATGAAGAGAATTTGAATATTTCCAAAAGTTTGGCCTATTAAAAAATTTTATGAAGCAGCCAGCCAAAGAGATCTGCATAAGACCCTATACAAGTTGGACATGTCCTATGTGACTCCATCTCTATGAAAAATCAAATATGCCTTACTTTATAATTTTAACTTACACTTCTAACTTTGAATAACAAATGCTGTTGCTTTTGCCTGGACGCTTCTTACCCCTATTATACTTGTTCCACTCAGGTAAATTCACACACGTTTTTCAGGACTCCTCAAATATTAATACATAGTAGAAGACTATCCACAATGGCGTTAGGAAGATATGAGGGTTGCAACCTTAGTACCACTCTTAGTAGCTGTGTGGTATTCATTGAGGTTCTGGTGGCTTAGTTTTCTAGGGCTGCCATAACAAAATATCACAAACTAGGTGGCTTGAAAGAGCAGAAATTTATTGTCTTACATAGTTCTTGAGGCGAGAGGCCCAAGTGTGGGTACCAGCCTTGTCAATTCTCTCTCCTAGCTGATGGTGGCTGGCTCCCAGGTATTGCTTGGCTTGTAGATGCATCTTCACAAGGAGTCTTCCCCCATGCTTCTGTGTCTGTACTCCTCTTTTATAAGACATCACTCAGATGGGGTTATGAGGTCATACCCTATTGTGGTATGACCTCATTTAAACCTAATTGACAACATCTTGAAGATCCTATATCCATACAAGGTCATGTTCACAAGTATAGCACTTAGGACTTCAACATCTCTCTCTCTCTCTCTCTTTGTAATTTTATTGTGATTTGGGTGAAAGCTTACAGAGCAAATTCATCTTCCATACAGCAGTTCACACACACTTTGTCTTATAATATTTACTGCAATTTCCCACAATGCAACAACTCCTCTTCCACTTCCTCCCCACAGCCACTTCTTCCATGTGTCCTTCCCTCCCATGCACTCCTCCCCCAGGAGCTGTCTCCCTGTGCATACATAGCCCTTCTATTCTCCCATGATTAATCTCTCCAAGGAGTGTATCTACCTAAGGTAAATGTTCAGCTCATATGCTTGTCTTTTGTTTGGCTGGAAGCCACAGGTGTGAGTTTAATTCCAGACCTGAAGGGCAGCTGGGGGCCTTAGGCTCAGGGGTTCTACCAGGCTCTATCAGACCAGCAAACCTTGTCCTTTTTTTTTTTTTAATGATTATGAGTTTTGTTCCACATTGTTCTCTCTCTCTATCCAGGATCTCCTGCATAAATCCCCCTCTGAGTGGTTGACAGTGGTAGCCAAGCACCACCTAGTTCTTCTGGTCTCACAGTCATATAAGCTGAGGATCGCATGGTGTACCAGTCACTTGGACTAATTGTTTCCATGTGTCTTTGGTTTTCTTCATTCTTCTTTGCTCTGGATGAGGAGAGACCTATCGTTGCATCTAGATAGCCACTTGTCAGCTTTTAAGATCCCAGTTGCTACTAACCAAAGTAAGATGTGGAACAATGTTTTGTGTAGTATGTTATGCCAGTTGAGCTTGATGTCCTTTGCAAGTACGGTCCCGAACCCACAGGTTCAACTACTCACTCCATCTGGGTAGCTGGCTGTGCCCAAGAAGTGACTACAACCTTGTCCCTTGTCAGCTCTACTATATACTTAGAAATTCTTACACAACATAAAAATACACTTGTAGAAACATTGTCTGCCAACCCTATACATGGTCATGGGCACACTCTCCCCTGCATAGACCTAATCATTCAGCCTGTCCACCCATCTATCCACCCATAGATCAATGTTTGCCATCAATGACAACACAGTATTGTAAATGCAAAGGGTTCATCTTTGTTGTCCGTACCTCCCATGCACCTCTCTATGTCTTCTTCTTCCTCAATGCCTCTGTGTTGATCACTCACATTTGGTTCATTGCCCTTCTCTTCACCCAAATCAATACTTGTCTCTACCTATCTAGCAGTATTCCCTCCTCTCCCCTCCCACCCCTGGGAACCAACAAAGTGTCCTTCCATATATAAACCTGTTCTTGACTTTTTACAATAATGGACTAATACAATATTTGTCCTTTTGTGATTGATTTATTTCACTCAGAATAATGCCTTCCAAGTTCATCCACATTATGTGCTGTTTTGCAGATTCTAGGTTATTCTTTAGGGTTGCATAGAATTCCATTGTGTGTATGTACCATAGTTTGGTTATCCATTCTTCTGTTGGTGGGCATGAAGGTTGTTTCCATCTTTTTGCTATTGTAAATAGTGCTGCAATGAACATGGGTGTGCATATGTCTGTTCTTATCCTGGCTTTCACTCCTTTAGAATATATACCCAGTAATAGAATGGCTAGGGAGCTCTGGTAGCATAGTGGCTAAGGCACTTGACTGCTAACCAGAAGGCTGGCGGTTCAAACCCACCAGCCACTCCTCGGAAGGAAGGTTGGGCAATCCTACTTCCGTAGTGATACTGCCTCGGAAACCCAAGGAGGGGTCGCTATGAGTCGGGGCCGACTTGACGGCAAATAACAACAACAACAACAATAGAATGGCTGGGTCAAATGGTATTTCTAATTCTAACTTTTTAAGGAATCACCATACTGCTTTCCACAGTGGTTGTATCATTTTACAGTCCCACCAGCAATGTATGAGAGTCCCAATCTCTCCAAATCCTTACCAGTGTTTGTTATTTTCTGTCTTGTTGAACTTTGCTATTAGTGCTGGGGCTAGATGGTATCTCATTGTTGTTTGGATTTGCATCTCTCTAATGGCTAATGGCCATTCTCAAAGAATTGGCCAGGGAAAACCTTATGAATAGCAAAGAGACCCTGTCTAATACATTACCACACAACTTTATGAATAGTTCAGTTAGGTTAGAAGGCTCTCAAAATAGGACTGGGAAAGAGCTGCATCATCAGAGTAAACCCAGCCTTACTCATATGGATAAGGTAAAGCTTTCGAGACCTCCATTTGCTGATGTGCCACCACTCAAATTGAGGAGAAACAGTTGCAGACATCCATTAATCGTTGGAACATGGAATGTATGAAGGATGAATCTAGGAAAACTGGAAGTTGTCAAAAATGAAATAGAACACATAAAGATGGAAGTAGATTGCCCAACCTTCACTTCTGAGGAGTGGCTGCTGGATTTGAACTGCCAGCCTTCTGCTTAGCAGTGCTTAGCCTTAGGCACTACGCTACCAGAGCTCCTAAGGGGACACTACATGGTTTAAAATCAAGAAGGGAGTGCATCAGGGTTGTATCCTTTCCCCACTCTTATTCAATCTATATGCTGAGCAAATTATCCGAGAAGCTGGACTATATGAAGAAGAACGTGGCATCAGGATTAGAGGAAGAATCATTAACAACCTGAGATACGCAGACAATACAACTTTGCTTGCTGAAAGTGAGGATGACTTGAGGCAC